CATCGTTAAGTGCACAAAGCACATAAAAATTAACCTACATCAATTCTATCGGTCACGGTAAAATAACCCCTTGACACCCGTTAGACATCACACTAAAAATAATAAAATATATTCGTTCGATCTAGAATTAAGACAAAGTTAGGTAGCGAATAATGAGATAGGTCAAACTAATCTTTTGGTAGACCCAAAAGATCGGCAACAATCAAGATACTTGTAATTTTATGTTTGAGTTAACCTATCCATAACGTTTTATTCGATATGATGCGACCTTATACTAATCCGATATAAATATATTTATTTTATTATTATGAAACGTGATTTTATTTTATTTTATTTTATTTTATTTTATGTTATTTATTTATTTTTTATTTATATAATATGGTAAAGTAACGCCCTAGCGTCTAACATCCAAGCGCTGGTGTTATTTAAGCCCTAACGAAGTTAATTGTAAAAGTGGAACTCTGGATGAGTCCGCTTTGTACTCAGTAAATGCAAAAACAGGAACTCTCGCGCAACCTACCTTAGAGCCTAGCGCGGCGATTCGTTCGAAGCTCCGCGGTGGGGCGGCGCGCGCCGATTGGCCAGCGGGCCAAGAGAGGGGCGAGCGCATAGAACCGATATATAAGGCGCGAGCGACCAGCGCTTGACACAGTCGCGTGAATGCAATTCTTTGAGTCGTTGAGCTCGACATAGTCGCGCGGATACAATTCTTAGAGTCGTTGAACACGACTTGTCCGGGACAATCCTTGTCTCGTGATAGAGGAGACAGTTCAAATGCGAAAACCTAATAGGTAATACGACGCGTATTACAAGCGACAATCAATAATTGCGAGTGTTTGTTCTGTGACATTAGTAGCGCCTAATGTAAATAAAAGCATTAATCCCGCGTGCGGACCTAAAGCGTTTGTAAACCGTGTTTGGTTGTGTTCTGAGGCTGAGGACGCTAAGAAATAAACCTCTTAAGTAAACCTAATCAGTGAGTGATACTTACCCACGTATTCCGTTTCCCACGCTGATCATCCTCCAGGAGTGAATCCTTTAGAGCGTTGAAAACATCAACCGGTATCCTGTGAACAAGGAAAGATCAAGGATTAGTCGATTCCCTGCGACAATTCTTTGTTGCAACAGTCTGACGCAGTTCCGACCTGCGCAACAGCGGCGGCCATCTTCAAAGACGGCGCGGCAGCCATCACAAAGGACAAAGAGGCGGCATCGTTCTCTGATATCCTCGGCACAAAGGGACATCATCGACATACGATACCTTCTTGCTTATTAGGTCAAAGCAAGTGGCGACCATAAAGGTGAAAGCGGGGCGTCTGGAGACCGCTAAATCGAGGTGAGGGATACCAACCCTGATTCCCGTCCGGTCACACCCGGCACGCGAATCCGGCCCTCGACCGGCCAAGAAGAGGAAGCGGGGCGGTGAACCCCCGTCGCGAGCAAACAGCCTGAGGCTGTCACGGCGGCCGCCACCACGGGCACCTCCCCGGTACAAACGGCGGAGGTCTGGTCTAAAGTGGTCAGCCGCAAAGAGAAGAGGGCAGCGGCCAAGGCGGCAAAGTCCGCGGCGGCCAAGCCCGTCCAGGTCCCCCAGGTTCCTCAGAAGAGGGCCCTAAAAGGGACTCAGAAGGGCGAGACGTCGTGAAAAGCGACCAAAGTTAGGTTGCCACGCACCCCTCCGGCGTCAGCGATCACGCTGACGAGGCCGGAGGAATGCGAGTGCACTCTCGATAAGGCAATGGGCCTTGTGAAGGCGGCCATTAAGCTGGCCGACTTCGGATTAACAGGACTCAGGTCCAAGAGGGCCGCCACCGGGGCACTTCTGCTTGAGGTTCCCGGTGAAGGCGGTTCCGCCAAGGCGGAAAAGCTGGCCGCCCGCATGGCGGAGGCCCTGACCGGACGGGCATAAAAGTAGCCCGCCCGGTCAAGCGCGTGGAAGTCCGAGTCTCCGGACTATCGGACGACGCGAACAAGGAAGAGGTAATCTCCTCCCTTGCCTCTGCGGGAGGATGTCCCGAGGGGGACATACGCGTCGGCGACATCCGACGCGCCCCTCGGGTTTGGGAACCTGTGGGTCCAGGCCCCGCTCGCGGCTGCCCGGCGAATTGCCGCGGCATCCGACGGGCGCGGCTGGTTGTCGGATGGATGATGTGCGGGCCGAGGTACTAGCGACCCGGCCCCTGCAGTGCTACCGCTGCCTGGAGGTAGGTCACCCCAGACAGCGGTGCACAAGCACCGCTGACAGAAGCGGACGCTGTTACCGCTGCGGTGGCACAGGTCACACGGCAGCGAAGTGCGAGGCGACTCCCCAGTGCCCGCTATGTACGGACCTGGGGAGACCGGCAGGACATCGTCTGGGGGCACCATCCTGTGCCCCCAAACAGAAGAAGGGAGGAGGCGCGTCCCAGAAGGGACCCAAGGCGGCTCCTCGAAAAGGAGGAAAAGATTCCACTGGGGACACTATCGTGGGGGCTTCTGGGGGGACGCCCGCAAATCTGGGCGACAACTATCGGGGGGCACCCGTTAAGGGGACCTCCCGCAGCAAGGGGACTGGTACGGGAACCAAGACACCGAGGTCGTAAATGATGGCGGATATATCCGCCACTGTCATTGCGACCAAGGTGATGCAGGCCAACCTGAACCACTGCGCCGCTGCGCAAGACCTTCTGGTCGCCAGTGCGGCGCGGTGGGGGGTTGACCTTGTAGTCATCGCTGAGCCGTACTCGATTCCGCCGTCTGCGGTCTCGAGCAGGTGCGGTTCGGCGGTGATCTTGGCCCCATCGCGGCTGCCCGGCACATCCTTCGAGCGCCTTGCGGCGGGAGAAGGATGGGCAGCCGCTCGGTGGGGGGAACTCACGGTGGTGAGCTGCTACATAAGTCCGGTCACAAGCGGCCCGTGTTTGAGAGGATCCTGGGTGCAATACGCTCTTTCGTAGCACAGTGCAGGACCCCAAGATCCTGGTCCTCGGGGACTTCAACTCCAAGTCGGTGGACTGGGGTTGCCCCGAGGACAGTGTAAGGGGCCGCATATTGCGGACTTGGGTGGAGGGCTCGGGGCTACGCGTTCTTAATCGCGGCTCCGAGCCTACGTGCGTCCGCGCTCAGGGGACGTCCATTGTGGATGTAACGTTCGCGACCCCTGATGTCGCCGCCACGGTGTCGGGGTGGAGGGTGATGGACGAGGAGACGCTGTCCGATCATAGATATATCGCCTTTGATCTGCGTCCCCGTCCAGCAGGGTACCTCCTCGGCACACCCACCCGAGCAGCTCACCAAGATGGGCGCTGAAGCGCCTGGATCGAGACGCGTTGCGAGCGGCCATCGCCGCCGCGGTATGGGACCCAGACGCAGACCAGGACTCATGCCCGGATACAGAGTCGGAGGCTGCCGCGCTCCGGGATGTTGCAACGAACATCTCGGACGCGTGCATGCCAAGGACAGGAGCGGCACCCCAAACCGGCGTTCCGTGTACTGGTGGAGTACGGAGATCGAGGATCTCCGGAATGCGTGCCTCCGGGCGCGCCACCGGTATGCGGAGCTACGACGTCCATTCCAGGGCGGAGTAGCAGTCGGGGCGGGGATGTCCGCGGAGACTGAGATGGCCCTCCGAGCAGAGTACCGCGATGCTCGCGAGGCTCTTTCGGGGGCCATCGGTAAGGCAAAATTCCGGGCATGGGAAGAGTTCATCCTCACGTTGGACCAGGACCCGTGAGGGCGGCCGTACAAACTTGTACGCAAGAAATTGCGTGCATGGGCCCCCCGGTGACGGAGTCATTAGACCCCCAGTTCTTGGGCGGGGTCGTCGACACCCTGTTCCCTGGCACTCAGGGGCAGGAGCGGCCTCGCCCAGAAGACCAGGACGTATCCTGGTCCGAGGACGATCTGGGGGTCACGGAGGATGAACTCAACAAGGCCATGCGCCGTCTGGAAGCCAAAAACACGGCTCCGGGTCCAGACGGCGTTCATGGCCGAGTCTGGGTCGTGGCGCGCAACGCTCTCGGTCACCGGCTCAGGAGGCTCTTCAATGCATGCCTGAGCCGGGGTGAGTTCCCCCCGCAGTGGAGAGGCGCTAAGCTAGTGCTCCTCCACAAGGAGGGACGGTCCGCGGACTCGCCTTCGGCGTATCGGCCGATCTGTCTGCTCGACGAGGTGGGCAAATTGTTCGAAAGAATAATCGTCAATCGCCTCGTCGAGCACTTGTCCCACGTGGGGCCAGACCTGGCGGAGTGCCAGTACGGTTTCCGTGAGGGACGCTCGACCATCGATGCTATTGAGCATGTGAGGTCCCTCACGAAGAGCTGTGTCGCCCGGGGGGGTGTTGCGCTAGCTATATCGTTTGATATAGCGAACACATTTAATACCCTCCCATGGGGTAAGATAAGGGAGGCGTTGCGCGAGCACGCGGTGCCTCCCTATCTCCGCCGGGTGCTGGACGCCTACCTAAGGGACAGGTGGGTGGAATACACAGACAGTGAGAGAGCGATACGTCGGAGGGCCGTGTCTGCGGGAGTTCCACAAGGGTCCGTGTTGGGCCCCACCCTGTGGAACTTGGGGTTAACACGGTTCTGCGGACCATCTTGCCCCCGGGGGTCACGGTAGTCTGCTACGCAGACGACACACTACTCGTGGCCACGGGGGCGGACTGGCTCGAGGCCCACTCTCGAGCCGAGGTAGGGGCGCGACAATTGGCCGCGCGGATTCGCGACTTAGGTCTTCGGGTAGACCTGCGTAAGACCGAGGCGCTATGGTTCCATGCGCCTAGGCGGCGGGTCCCGGGCCCGGTGACGACGATCCGGTTGAGTGAGACCACACACATCAGGACAGGGGCCAAGATGCGATATCTCGGCCTCTTCCTGGATGGCTCTTGGGCCTTTAAAAGCCACCTCGACGTAATGACCCCCCGTGTAAAGGGAGCATCTCTGGCGTTGGGCCGAGTGCTCCCCAATAAGGGGGGTCCCAAGCACGCGGTGCGCCGCCTATACCTAGGCGTGATACGGAGCATGGCCCTTTACGGGGCCCCGGTGTGGGCGCGCGTCGCCGCACAACAGAAGAGTCCTCCTGCAGATGGGGCGGCGCGCGGCACAGAGGATCGCGCGCTGCTACCGTACCGTATCCGCCATGGCGGCGCATATCCTCGCGGGGGTCCCACCACTGGATCTCCTGGCGGAGATGTACTACAAATTGTACCGACGTACAAAGGAGATCCGCCGGGGGGTACCCAGGGGGCCTCCGAGGAATTGGACCGCGAAGTCGAGGTGGCCAGGTCCCAAGCCTGGCGGTCTCTAATGGCGCAGTGGCAACGCCAACTGGCCGATTACGGCCACTTGGAGATCGTCAGGGCCGTCCAACCCGTCTTCGATAGATGGATGGACGGCAGCCGTGGTCTCACTTACGAGATGTCACAGATACTCTCCGGGCATGGTTGCTTCAGAGAGTATCTGTTCCGGATCGGGTCGCGAGTCCGCACCAACGTGTCGCGCGTGCAACTCCGCGCCGGACTCCGTCGCTCATACACTGCAAGAGTGCCCCGCCTGGGCGGAGGAGCGACGCGAGCTCCGGGCGGAGTTGCGGGTAGGATACCTCACGATACCGGCTATCGTTGATGCAATAGCCGGTGAGGGTGAGGAGAGGAGAAGAAGTGGCAGGCCTTCTGCCACTTCTCCTCCCGTGTCATGGGCAGCAAGGCGGCTGCGGAGAGAGAAAGAGAGATGGCGGGAGACCCCACACATGGGCCCAGACGTAAGAGGCGTCTCGGCCCCGTGCCGCTCCCGGATCCCCCGTCGTTGTTTGGCCCATCTTCGGATGGGCGGGCGGCGGCGGCCCCGAAGGTGGCTATCGCGGGGCTGGAGCAACACCGGCCCCCATGGGGGGAGTGCGCAAGGGCTCCCTTCCCTCGGGGGTCTCCCGCTATTCCGAGCCTTATTGAGGCCCGGATGAGACGAGCGGGGGGGTGGGTTAGGGCCAGCCCCTTTTCAGGGCACCCTAACTGATCCTTCCCCGCAATTCGGACACGGGTGTAGCGCCGGGGGCCTTGCCCCTCGCGCGCGCGTGCCGGGTGTGCGGCGGCGGGTCACCTCGTCCCTTTCGGCTAAGGGGAGGTTGGCCCGTCGCCGCGTTTGGTAGGTGGCGCAAGTCTGGGGGGGGGAGAATGTTTTTCCCCCCTCCCGGACATCTGCGAGAGAGAGGGAGTGCGGAGGGAGATGTGCTTGACAGATGTCATCCTCCTCCACCTATCCCTCTCTTCTTTCACCTCTCATTCCATCCTTTGCATTCCTTCCTTATCCCTCTTACCATCTCTCTTCCACAATCTCAAATACATACATCCTCCTCACTCTTCCAGAAATTTTAACCTTTCACTCATCACATAACATATCATATCATTCACATTACCATTGCCTGCCTTTTTGTTTTTTTTACGTGTGAAAATGCGCGACCGCATACCCGCCACCTCAGGGGAGGTGGACAGTTATGTGGGGCTGGGATCCACGCTTCCGGGACTCAACTGTATCCCGGGGACTCCCCGACCACTAAAACCACACGGGTTGCCTACCATTGCCCGTCAGAGGGTGTCCCCGTTACGATAAGCATTTGGGGAACACCCTCGGCCTTGGGGTGCCGTCTGTTCATGACGGCACCTCGATTCTCGAGGTGGGGAGGAGGATAACTCCTCCCCACCTCCGGGTGTGTTGGGGAACCACCCCCCGGCACACCGCCCTAACGACAGGGGTCGGAATGAGGGCCGACCCCCGTCCGGACACCTCACCCCCCGGCCCCCCCCGTGGTTTGTTGGAGAGGCCTCTGTGTGAGACACCTCCCGCACAGGGAGGGCCACTTCTACTCGTGGGCGGGGGACCTATTTCTAGGTCTCCGCCCGTCTATGTGCTGGGAGGGGAGATGTGCTTGACAGATGTCCCGCCCACATGTAGAAGTGCCCCTCCCCTGTGCGGGAGGTGGTCTCACACCAGAGGCCTCCTCCAACCACCACGGGGTGGGCCGGGGGGTGAGGTTCCCGAACGGGGGTCCGGCCATCATTCCGACCCCTGTCGTAGGGCGGTGTGCCGGTGGGGTGGTTCCCCAACACACCCCGGATGTGGGGAGGAGTTATCCTCCTCCCCACCTCGAGAATGGGGTGCCGTCATGAACAACGGCACCCCCAGGCTGAGGGTGTTCCCCCAAATGCCTTATCGTAACGGGGACATCCCTCTGACGGGCCACTGGTAGGCAACCGTGTAGTTTTTAGTGGGTCGGGGATCCCGGGTATACAGTTGGAGTCCCGGAAGCGTGGATCCAGCCCCACATAACCTGTCCCCTCCCCCGAGGTGCGGGTATGCGGTCGCGAATTTTCACACGTAAAAAAAAACAAAAGGCAATGGTA